CCCTCCCTTCTCCTCCCCTTGGCACCGTTTTTAAGATCGTCCTTAATGGCTCCACCCCTTACACCCCCGACAACTCCCCGTCCTTTAACCCGACCTTCCCTTTTCTACCATTTTGCCTTTCTCTCTCTCTCTGTGGGTCTCTCTACTCCTTACTCCCTTTCCTCCCTATTTCTTTCTCTCCTTTCTCACCCCTCCCTCACCATTTTATTTCCACTGTCCCCTCCTTGCTGTATCCTTTCTCCCTTTCACCCTCTGTATTTCCTCTCCCCCTTATCGTCTTCCCCTAGCTTTCACAGCTGTCTCCACTTCTACAGCGTCAGGGGCCCTAAGCAGGAACAGTGTGAGGCGATTGCTTTCCTGGAGCTGTATTGCAGGCAGATAGGATTTGCAGGCTTTATTCTTCCCTTTCGTTTATGTAGTTGGGGAAGGAGGGAATTGGAGCATGTTTTGAAGTGATGGAATGAGAACGCGGGTGAGGGCCAGGGTGCATACTGTCACCTCGCAAGATAAGCCTTTAGACAGAAACAGCTAAAAATGTTTTGAAAATTGTATTTATTTTAAACATCTTTTAATGTGGAGGTAATTTAAATCCCCCGTTTGAAAAATTTAAAAATACTCATTTTCAGGCTTGTCTAGTACTCAGAACAATGGTTTGTTTTTGTTTGGAGACAAGAGACAGAGCATCTGAATACTGAGAGTGAGCCTGGCAGTCAGATGGTGACAGTCTTTTTTTTAAAGGTTTATTTATTTATGCATACAGAACTGGGGTACAAGTCAGAGGTGCAGGAGCAATGAGAAGATTCACCAGAGACAGAGTGGGGAGCAAAACAGGTAGATCGACAAAGTACACTGCTGAGGGGAGCAGCCGGCAGGTCAGGAGAGGACTGCCTTGCCATGTGGGTCACCTTGGGGCAGGGATCGAACTCCCACCGAAATCGAACTCTCACCGAAGGGGCTTCAAGGGAGCCACCAGGGAAGACTGGTGACAGTCTTTTTAATACCTTCTAATAGCTTCTTTGTTTTGTCCTCTCTGCATTGTTGAGAGAACCTTATATTTGCAAATTTTCTCCTTCCTGTTTCAAAATAGATTGAGGCTTCAGTGGGCTTTTTATTGAGTTGGTTTATAAATGGTTTGCAGTGCATTTAATGAAAACATTGCCTCATCATATGTAGCAGCCTAAATTTTTGGTCTGGGAGGAATAAGACAGTCTAGTCAAAGCTTAAGTCCTGGTAATCGTGTTCTTCCAGGAGGCTAGTCAGTTTCTATTTTTCTCCTATTGATTTCTTAGAAAGTGGCTTATTATTAAACCATTTAATGTTTGAATTTTCCCTAACTCATTGACTGCATTTTTAGTTTGCTCTTTTCCTACAACAGCCTTTCACATTCACAACCCATTACATTGTCATTGTGGGTTAACCTGTTTCTCTTTGTGAAATATGAGTTCTAGGCAATTCTAGGTAGCAATTGTGCCTTTCTTTCTCCCCCTTGTCAGGCCAACTCGGTGCTTAAATGATTTGCTAAAGGTCTCATTTTCCTACCTGGCAAGGCTAGTTTAACCTTAAACTGAAATTTGAGGCAACCAGTGGACTGCACAGAAAGGGTGTAGTGAGAATTTCATTTTTAGTGCAAAAAGCAAATTTAGTGAGATATCTCTTCAAAATAAAGTGTTGTCCTGCTTAGATACCAGATTGCTAGATTTCTGAAGTGTTGGCTTTCCCACTCAGAATGAAGGAGTGAGTTCAGAGGAAGAAGTTATAAACTCCTTTTTGGGCATTTAGGATACATAAGTGGCATTTTCAGCTGGATCTGAAAGATGAATAGGATTTATGCAGGCCCTTTTGGGAAGGGAAGGAGTATTTGTGGGCTACCACCTCAAGAGTTTAATTTATTAGGTCAGGAATAGGGTCTGAGAGTTTACATTTCTAACAGATACCTGCCTAAGACTGTGAGCCTCATTTTAAGAACCAATGGGCAAGGATACAATGCTTTTTAAAATTCATCTAAGATTCTTTTGAGTGCCACTGATTATGTTGACGTTGGGGCTATCACAGATAATAAAAATTCTCTGCCTTTGTCTTGTGTGTGAACAGTATAAATATCAAAGAAACCAAGATAATTTTAGATGTGAAAAATGCTAAGACAGGAAAAATTGTGCAAAGATAGTCCATGGTATAGGATAGTTAGGGTCAGCTTCCAAAGAGGATCTTACTTTCAAGAAGAGAACTAAAGGATTAAATTAATAGAGTTGAGTTGTGAAAAACCAGATAGAAGGGAAAGAGCATGCAAATAATCTGTGGTGATAACTCTCTTGCCTGCTTAACTCCAGAGTTTTTAGTTCAAGAAACTAAAGGAATTCCCTCTTGCCCTGTTTACTATTCAAAACAAAAACAAAAACCCTGTTTCATAGACTACATATCAGTTGTAATTTTTATTTATTTCTGTGATTATTTGGCTAATGTTTATCTCTACTCCCAGACTATAAAAACCACTAATATAGGAGATGGTTTCTGATAATCTGCTAACGGCCAGCTGCTATTCTGGGCTCTGGGATTACAGTGGTTAAAAAGAAAAACATGGTCCTTGGAGAGTGGGAATAGACAATAAATAACTAGTGAGAAATGATTATGCTAAGAAGTTAGATTAAGATATAAAGTGATCTTGTGTAAGTATTGGCAACTTTTTTAGGTAGTGTGACTAGGCAGCAACATAATAGATAATATTTATTGAATGTGACTGTGTAGAGACCCTGTTTTAAATGATTGACATGTTTTCTCTCATTTAATCCTCATAGCAATCCAATGAGATAAATATGAGCCTTATGTAGGTAGAGATCATGTTTGTTTTGTTCATGGCATCCTGAATACCTTTGTACACCTAGTGCCTTGTAAGAGCTCAATAAATACTTATTGAATGAATTAATGACTTTGGAGATGGTTAGAAATTCAGGAAGACTTTGTTAAGAAGGGGATGCTTGAATTGGGGATCTTGACAGGAGAGGTTTTATTTGGTTGTATAGATGTATAATTGAATTTCTGCTGCATATGTAGTATTTAATTTACTTTTGATTAATATTTTATTGTTTTGCTATAATATTGAAAGCTATTCAGAAACATATATTGCTGCATAACATCTAGAATTGCTTACAATTTGCTTACAATTTCTCCCCGTTTTATGCATTTTTGTGAGGGAGGTTTATTTGGGGGAGGTCAGAATGATTTGTGTAAAATACCTTTGTTAATATCTCTTTTTCCTTTTTGTAAATTTGTGGATGAATAAGTACCAGAAAGATTGTGGCAATAGTATTTGAAAGGACCAATCTGGGTAAAATTTTTTGAAGAACTTACAATGTCAGGATATATCCTATTCCAGAAAACACCATGTTAATCCTCCTCCCCCAATTTATTTATTTATTTTAAAAATTTATGTATTTATTGATGCATATAGAACTGGGGTATAGGCCAGAGGTGCAGGGGCAGTAAGAGGATTCACCAGAGACAGAGCAGGGAGCAGAACAGGCAGATCGATGAATACACTGCTGAAGGGAGAAGTGGGTGAGACTGGGAGAGGTCTGTTGCGCCATGTGGGTCACTTCCTCTCACTTCCTCTCGGGTTGGGGATTGGCACTGAACTGGCTTCTGCTCACTTGCAGTGCCACATCCCAACCCATTTCTCTGTTCTTGCCACCAGGGAGGGCCTCCTTCCCCAATTTAATAAATGGATGCACTGTTCTTTCAGAATGGAGTTGTTTTCCTTATTTACCATAGGGATTTATGTATTTGTACAGAACTGGGGTACAGGCCAGAGATGTGGAGGGTGAGAGGATTCACCAGAGACAGAGCGGGGAGCAGAACTGGCAGATCGATGAAGTACACTGCTGAGGGGAGCAGTGGGCGGCCCAGGAGAGGTCTGCCGAGCCATGTGGTCACCTCTGGGGCAGGCGGGGATCGAACCCATGTATGCGGAAGTGGCTTAAGTTTCTTTGTGCTGCGCTCCAACCCACTGCGCCACCGGGGAGGGTCTACCATAGGATTTTTTTTTTTTTTTAAGATTTATTTATTTATTCATACAGAACTGGGGTACAGGCCAGAGGCTCAGGGGCGGTGAGAGGTTTCACCAGAGACAGAGTGGGGAGCAGAACAGGCAGATCTACGAAGTACACTGCTGAGGGAAGCAGCGGGCGGGTCAGGAGAGGTCTGGCTCGCCATGTGGTCTCCTCCGGGGCAGGCGGGAATTGAACTCATGCGGAAGTGGCTTAAGATTCTCAGTGCTGTGCTTTAACCCTCTGCGCCACCAGGGAGGGCCTACCATAGGATTTTTAAAGAAAGTTTATGAATGCAAGAGCTGGGGTACAGGCCAGGGGTTCATGAAAGGATCCACCAGAGACAGAGTTAAGAACAACAGATGGATCGACTGAAATACACTGCTGGGGGGGAGCAGTGAGTGAAACTGGAGAGGTGTTGATAAGCTACCTTAGCTATGCTGAGACTTAACCCCATGAACCACCAGGGAAACCCCACATAAGATATTTTTAAACCATCATTCAGGGATCATGTCATTTTGCCGCCTGTATGTGCTGTGGTTAATGATAAGGTTTAGTTATCTTTTTTCCTTTCTTCCTGAGAGTTTCTCTGTTCTTATGACTCAGCTGTCATTACTAGAGGGTGATTTTAAATCTGTGTGTTTAGCTCCTTCAGTTTTATCAGAATATCAGATTCTTTATTTGCCTAAGCAAACTCTTCA